CGTCTATAAATAAAAAAAACCAAAAACATACTTTGAATATATAATTTGTATTGAAGAGCCAGCATTATGGCTGGTACCAGAGAACATTCAAGATGACAGATGTGATATTTTTGAGAAAACAAAACAAGTAACTGGCATTGCACATAATAATAGTGATAAACCACAATAAGTTACAACAATTCTGAGCCATATTAGAAACTCTAAAGAAAAGCTGTAATAAGAGATTGCTTTAAACCAATTTGAATTTAATTACCTCACATTACTGTCTATAAAACTGCTTCCACAACCGGTTTTTATTGGTTAGGATTCAGTCAATGTTCTTATAATCCTGTAGTGTCAGTTTTTGAACATGAATATGAGTACTCCAAGACAGTAGTCTTCAAACTGAGTTATATTTACCCTAAAGATACACCATCATGGAGAAGTTGAAGCCAATCAATGTCTACATCTTCAGTTCACACATATGCTTTCTCCAAAACTGTTTATCAGAAAAGTGCTTATGTTCTGTGAGTTCTCCGTTTCTAACAATACTTTTAAAAGTCCTTTTGCTTAGCCTAACTCCCTAGGCTGGAAATCCATCTTGGTCACCAAACAGACTGCTATAAAAACCTTGCTCCCAAAGAGTTCCAGGAAAGCACAGAAGCAGCAGCAGCAACAAAAATGACAGTGATGGACCACTGCCTGGTCTTCATCTGGAGACAACCCATAGCAAGTTCTGATATCTCATCTTTTAGAAGTGAGATGGTTGAAAAATGAAGTCAAGATGTTTCCTGAAAATCTGACTTATTTAGCTGTCCCAACTGTTAGCGAAGACTTTAAAATACATCTTTTGCAAGCTGAAGCCATGGCTTGGGTGGTGGACCACCTGCCTGGCAAGTAAAAGGTCAATCCTGTATTATGTGACATAAAATATATCTTCCGCGATTATTTGAACCTTCCATGGAATAATGGAGATGCTAGCGTTAAGATGTTTAAAGACAGACTTCAAAAAATTCTTTTAGACAATAAAAATCATTGCTCTAAGACATATAAACTAAAAATCTAATGACAAATGAGCATTTCTCACCTTTACATTTTCTCTACTCAGTTTGATAATGACATCTTGTATATAAATCAGCTGAGGGAAAGTTTGTCACTGGCTGGACAGGCAAGGTGATGTGGGGAAACAGCAAAGGTTTTTCTCTTTCCTGACCTTCCTGAATCTTAAAATACTCAGGAGGCTGAGATCCGAGGATCATGGTTCAAAGCCAGCCCGGGCAGGAAGGTCAGTGGGACACTTATCTCCAGTTAAGCACCAGAAAACTGGAAATCACACTGTAGCTCAAGCGGTACAGTGCTTGTCTTAAAGCTGAAGAGCACAGGGACAGCGCCCAGTTCAAGCCTCCCAACAGACCAAAAACAAACAAACAAAAAAAACACATCATTTTAGGAGCTAGCTGACCTGGAAATAATAAAGCCTTGCTACCCATGGTCAGTCCAGTCCAAGAGCCAGGGTACCTGGCTGGAATCACCTGTGAGCTTGTTGGAATATAAATTGTGAGGGTCACCACATACCTATAAAATCAGTACTGAAAACCTGTCCATATACTAAGAAAAATAATGGTGATAGAAATTTAGATTAAAATTTATTACTCCTCAAAGAAAGAAGTATGTCTTAGGAGCTGTAACTCTTCACCCTATACTTCTTTCAAGACAAAAAGCTCAAATTGTCATCAGTTTTCATTAGTTCTTAATTCTGAGTTCCCAATTTGATGGCTGGGAATATCAACTACTAGTTCCCCACCTGATAAGCATTATCAGACTAAGATGCTCACAGTCCCATGGTGAGTTCATTGGAGTGTCCAGGAAAATAACAAGTTATGGGGAAAACAAGGAGTAAAGAAATGGAGCAAATGCACTCAAATCTTCAAGTTTATGTGCTCAGATAGAAAGATAGAGCTTGAGATGATAGGTGTACAAGTCAGTTTACAAAAAACACAAGAAAGATGCATCATGCTTGTTGCTTAAACACTGAACACAATGGAACAACTGAATGTTTGCAAACCTTTGTTGCTAGTTACAGCACTGTCAAAACTCACTAATCACCATTCCATTTTAAGGACATTCTTCATTCTACTGTAAAACAATTTTCCCTTCCTTATATCCTAAGAACATACTTCTTTCTCATAAAGATGAAATAGCACATGCTATTATTTAATAAGTTAAAGAGTACTGAAGAGGTTTCGTGGAACTGCTTTTTCAAACCATAAAAACTATGCTGTGGAGAGGGAAGAATACTGAAATTATGCCTAATGCACTGTCAAGACCATCAAATATGATTTTACTGCTTACGTAGGAGGAAGAGGCATAGTGACAATTTTCTTTATTATTTCACCAAAACAATTTATTGCATAGATCCTGCCACTGGTTGCACAGCTCTATAATCATTCTGTTAGGTTTCTCTTCTCAGGTTCCCAGGTATCTCAGATGAGAAGTAGTAAAAGGCCAGAAGCCTAGGACAAGAATCTGGCCAGAGACTATGGATGAGATCATCATCAACCTCACCCTAGCCTCTTCTGAATTTCACAGGCCACATCCCTTAAACCAGTCTCTTCTCAGATTCTCAAAACAGGAAAAAAATAAAGTAGATCCACCCCACAAAAAAGTTTGGGAATTCTTATATTATGCAATTTCTTCAAACATGTTTCTTCTGTGTAGTAAAATTACAAAAAAGAGCATATTAGGATCACAAAAAAAAACTCTGCATTTCTAAGACTGCCTCAAATTATTTTCTTTTTTAAATGTTCTCTCAAACCCTTAATAAGGATGAAAGCTATATTGAATAATTCATTCCTAAAAGAAAAGATTTACTGCATATAATAAACTCTTCAAGCTTTATTAGAAAGCAAGTATTTAGGGCTGGGAAGGTGGCTCAGTGGTAGAGCACTTGCCTTGCATGCCTGAGGCCCTGAGTTCAATTCCTCAGCACCACATAAGCAAAAAGAAAAAAGCCGGAAGTGGCGCTGTGGCTCAAGTGTTGGGGGCTAGCCTTGAGCTGAAGAGCTGAGGGACAGTGCCCAGGCCCAGAGTTCAGGCCCCACAACCGGACCCCAAAAAAAAGAAAGCAAGTATTTATATATATATTTTTAATTGGCAGACCCTGTAGTCTTTAGGGATTCCATTCTATTTTAGTTTCTGGATAACTATACTGCAGAACTGTAATTATGTTCTCTATAATCAGTTCATTCTCAGTGTAATTAAGAATACCACAAGTTTAAAAGTGAAACCTCACCCTAAAGTGGAAAAGTGCATGGAATAGATGGTTTATTTTGAATGTAAAATTTCCTCCTATTATTCAGATAAATTTAAAATATGAAACAAAAAGGATGTTATACTCTTCATTTAAGAGAGTCACTATGTTCCTAATAACAGAGTTGGTCATTTCTATAAGATTCTCATGAATTGTCTGTTTCCTGCCAAACTCCTTGCTATTCTCAAAAACACCATGCCCCTGTTTAGATATTTCTCAATTCCTCTTATTTAACTCTTAATCATTACACAAAGCTATATAGAAATTGGTTCCCAGGATAATATGTTAGTGCTATCATTAAACCAAGTTTTAATTGGCAAAGAAACCTATCCAGTGAACTGCATAACTTGTAGACAGTGCGAACAAACTTTTAGCCAAAAACTAGGAGCACAAGGATATAACTCAAGTGATAGAGCACTTGTCTAGTTTGTGTGAAACCCTACGTTCAATCCTCATTACTGCAAAAACAATAATCAAAAAGAATCAGAAAGTGGAACACCAATAGTAATATACGACACATTTAAATGGTTCAAGAAAATCATTATTAAACATAATAAAAAAAAGAACAATAGAGCTAGATATTAGTGGCTAGCAGCTATAATCTAAGCTACTCAGGAGGCTGAGATCTAAGGATCACAATTTGAAGCCAGCCTATGTAGGAAAGTCTGTGACACTCTTATCTCCAATTAACCACCCAAAAGCTGGAAGTGGAGCTGTGGCTCAAGTGGTAGAGCTCTAGCCCCTTGAGCAAAAGAAGCTTAGGGACAGCGCTCAGGCCTTGAGTTCAAACCACAACACAGGCATTAAAAACAACAACAACAACAAAATATTTACAGATGTTTACTATGTGTCAGGATGGTTATAATCATAGTTGAATTACCTCACTTAATTCCCACAAAATGCCCCACACTAGATATAATTATTGCCATATTTTTCATTTGAAGAAATGAGAGGCATAGAGATATTAAATATTAGGAAAGACTCACTAGCTGTTTAAAATAAGACTAGTCTTGCAAAATACATGAATGAAAATGGAACAATGAAATTTGGTGAAATTGACTTGGGAAGGAGGGGGAGATGAGGGACGAGAGGAGAGATTATGATTGAGTTAATTGTATACATACATGGACATGTCATAATGAAACCATCTTGTACAGCAAATTTATGTTAATAAAAATGTGGGAGTGGGGTAAAGGACTCAGATCAGTCTTGAAGCTGAGTCTAAATCTCAAGCTTGGATCTATTTTGACAGCCTTCAAGTTAGACTGTGGACTGATTATACAAGCAATTTAAAACAAAAATTCCTGCTGTTCCTCTATTAAGGCTCTTTGTGAAATGCAGTGTTGTTAATCATTAGAAGTAAGATTAAACAACAAAAAAAAAGTAAGGGCTGGAAAGGTGGCTCAGTGGTAGAGCGCTTGCTTTGCATGCATGAGGCCATGGGTTGATTCCTCAGCACCACATAAGCAGAAAATGCTGGAAGTGGTGCTGTGGCTCAAGTGGTAGGGCACTAGCCTTGAGATGAAGAACTGAAAGACAGAGTCCAGGCCCAGAATTCAGGCCCCACGACCAGAAAAAAAAAAAAAAAGCAAGATATCTGGGTGTATAGATTCTCCTCTCATCAAATTCACAAACTCCTCTGCATACTCTATGAGCTGATATGAGTTAGCAAAGCCCAACACAAAACATAATGTACTTTTATATTTTTCAGATTAAAGAAACGGATTGATCAAGAAACTGAGTCTCAGGAGAAGAAGGAGAAAGAGAAGGAAAAGAGGGTCGCTGCTCTAAAAGAAGAACTGACCAAGCTGAAGTCTTTTGCTTTGATGGTAGTGGACGAACAACAAAGGCTAACAGCACAGCTTTCCCTTCAAAGGCAGAAAATCCAAAACTTGACCACAAGTGCAAAGGAAACATATGCTAAACTAGCCCTTGCTGAATCTAGAGTTCAGGAAGAAGAGCAGAAGGCAACCAGATTAGAGAAAGAACTGCAAACACAAACCACAAAGTTTCATCAGAACCAAGAGGAAATTATGGCCAAGCTCACCAATGAGGACAGTCAAAATCACCAACTGCGACAAAAGTTGGCAACACTCAGCCAACAAATTGATGAGTTAGAAGAGACCAATAGGTCTTTACGAAAAGCAGAAGAAGAGTTGCAAGATATAAAAGAAAAAATCAACAAGGGAGAATATGGTAATGCTGGTATCATAAGTGAGGTTGAAGAGCTCAGGAAACGTGTGCTAGATATGGAAGGGAAAGATGAAGAGCTCATAAAAATGGAAGAACAATGCAGAGATCTCAATAAAAGGCTTGAAAAGGAAGCAACTCAGAGCAAAGACTTCAAATTAGAGGTTGAGAAACTTAATAAAAGGATTATGGCTCTGGAAAAATTAGAAGATGCTTTCAGCAAAAGTAAACAAGAATGCTACTCTCTGAAATGCAATTTAGAAAAAGAAAGGATGACCACAAAGCAGCTGTCTCAAGAACTTGAGAGTTTAAAAGTGAGGATCAAAGAACTAGAAGCCATTGAAAATCGGCTAGAAAAGACAGAATTCACCCTAAAGGAGGATTTAACTAAACTGAAAACATTAACTGTGATGCTTGTAGATGAACGTAAAACAATGAGTGAAAAATTAAAGCAAACTGAGGATAAGTTACAAGCTGCTGCTTCTCAGCTTCAAGTGGAGCAAAATAAAGTAACCACAGTTACTGAGAAGTTAATTGAAGAAACCAAAAGGGCACTCAAATCCAAAACTGATGTGGAAGAAAAGATGTACACTGTGACCAAAGAGAGAGATGATCTTAAAAGTAAACTAAAAACAGAAGAGGAGAAAGGAAATGATCTCTTGTCCAAAGTTAATATGTTGAAAAATAGGCTTCAATCGTTGGAAGCAACTGAAAAAGATCTTGTAAAAAACAAATTAAATCAAGACTCTGTTAAGTCCACAACGGTAGTACACCAAGAAAACAATAAGATTAAAGAGCTCTCACAAGAAGTCGAAAGACTAAAACTGAAGTTAAAGGATATGAAAGCCATTGAGGATGACCTCATGAAAACAGAAGACGAGTATGAGACTCTGGAACGAAGGTATGCTAATGAACGAGACAAAGCTCAATTTTTGTCTGAAGAGCTGGAGCATGTCAAAATGGAACTTTCCAAGTATAAATTAGCAGAAAAGACAGAGTCCAGTCATGAGCAATGGCTTTTCAAAAAACTTCAAGAAGAAGAGGCTAAATCAGGGCATCTTTCGAGAGAAGTGGATGCATTAAAAGAGAAAATCCATGAGTACATGGCAACAGAGGACCTAATATGTCACCTCCAGGGAGATCACTCAGTTCTGCAAAAGAAGCTGAGTCAACAAGAAAACAGGAACAGAGACTTAGGAAGAGAAATTGAAAACCTCACTAAAGAGTTAGAGCGGTATCGGCATTTTAGTAAGAGCATCCGACCCAGTCTTAATGGAAGAAGAATCTCTGACCCTCAAGTATTTTCTAAAGAAGTTCAGACAGAAGCAGGAGACAATGAACCACCAGACTACAAGAGTCTCATTCCTCTGGAACGAGCAGTCATCAATGGTCAGTTATATGAAGAGAGTGAGGAACAGGATGAGGACCCTAATGAGGAGGAATCTGTGCTGGCCTTCAAATGCAACCCATCTGTTCCTCTTCCTGTAAACAGGAAGCTATGGATTCCTTGGATGAAATCCAAGGAAGGCCATCCTCAGAATGGAAAAATACAAACAAAGTCTAATGGCAACTTTGTGCAACCTGGGGATCTAGTCTTAAGCCACACACCTGGGCAGCCACTTCATATAAAGGTTACACCAGACCATGTCCAAAACACAGCCACTCTTGAAATCACAAGTCCGACCACAGAGAATCCTCATTCTTACACAAGCACTGCTGTGATACCAAACTGTGGCACCCCAAAACAAAGAATAACCATTCTCCAGAATGCCTCCATAACACCAATGAAATCCAAAACCTCTACTGAAGGCCTCGTGAATTTAGAGCAAAGCATGTCCCCAATTACCATGGCAACCTTTGCCAGAGCTCAGACTCCAGAGTCTTGTGGTTCTATAACTCCAGAGAGGACAATGTCACCTATTCAAGTTTTGGCTGTGACTGGTTCAGCTAGTTCTCCTGAGCAGGCACGCTCTCCAGAGCCAATAGAAATTGGTGCCAAGCACGCAATTTTCAGAGTCTCTCCAGACCGGCAGTCATCATGGCAGTTTCAACGTTCAAATAGTAACAGTTCAAGTGTGATAACTACTGAGGATAATAAAATCCACATTCACTTAGGAAGTCCTTACATGCAAGCTGTGGCCAGCCCCATGAGACCTGCCAGCCCTTCAACAACACTTCAGGATAACCGAACTCAAGGCTTATCTAATGGGGCATTAAACAAAACAACCAGTAAAGTCACCAGCAGTATTACTATCACACCAACAACCACACCTCTTCCTCGACAATCACAAATTACAGTAAGTAATATATATAACTGACCACTCTCACCCTCATCTAGCCCATACTGATATTCTTGCAAGGAATTCAATCATTTTTAATCATCCCCCAAAAGACTGATTGAACTTGTACTTTTGGAAGTTTTGTGCATGAATTGTACCAAAGAACCTGAAACTAACAAAGTATTGCCTGCATAGTCATCCAAGTGTGCACTTACTGTATATCTTTTCATTTACATTCTTGTATGGAAAATATTTAGTCTGCACTTGTATAAATACATCTTTGTGTATTTCATTTTCCATAATTCACTTTAATTTGACTTCAACTTATCTTGGTGAAATACATTAACATTATAAAGCAGTAAATAATTTGTTATTTTTACCATTGCTTGCTGAATTTTCTTTTGGTCATTTTGTGTTTATATATCTGCATGTCCAATATAATTTTATTTTCCACTTATAATATCTATAAATACTTCCTAAAAAACAAGCAGGACCTAATTCTTATTTACAGTTAACTTATGATCTGCTTTTGAGGAAGAGAAAGTGGTTAAAGTAAATTTTTTAAAAGTGTATCACTAGGATTTCAAAATGAACCATAAAATATCCCAAGACAAGCCCAACATCATTCTTGAAATGCATTTCAACATTCAGATCCATAGCACTCAGCACAAGGCTTAACATATTTGTAAGGAAGTTAGTAAATGTTTGCTAATAATCAAATAATATTTGATAATTTGCTTTTAGTGAGCATATAAAAGCTGATGTAGAAGCTTTAAAATGTGATATGAAGTCAGAAAAAAATACTTCAAAATACAAGTTGCCTGTATTTCATCTCAAATTCCCATAGAACACATATCCAAACCTGGAATTAATCACAATGATGTAAGCTTTTGAACATCTGCTTCAAAACAAGTGTCACTCTTACTTCCTTTTCCTATTTGGTTCCAAGAATAGTTTAGATTACTTACGGTAGGCTAGGCTACCTTACCCTGCTTGTAAGTATTTTTTTTTTGTATCTTTAAACCTAACAAGCAACTAAAAGCCCAAGGTTATTATAAAAACAACTTATAGGAAAGGCTTATTTTTAAAAAATACATTGTCTTCAAGGACAAGCAAGATACTCTGAATTTCTTCTGATTATTATGCCTTTTAAAAGGGAGGGGAGACAAAGTCAGCCAGAGCACCCTAGAAATTCTGACACTAGACTCCTGGACTCTCTGAGCAGCAAACAGCCTTAAGAGGAACATTTTAAATTACAAATCTGGTTCCCAAGTTACATTCCATAAAGATGATTTCAAAGTAGCTTACTGCTATTTTCCTTTTCCAGCCTCTTAACTGTTAATTTAATGTGGTCAATTTTATTGCCAGTTATTAATTTTAAAAACAATTTACCTAGACATTCAGGCAAACTGTGAAGCTATTTCAAGGATAAATGGAAACTTTCACAATTATCTTCCTTGTCCCTGAAAAATCAATTTTATGATAGCAATGCAAGGATTTGTTGACAGAAACACTTCCATAGCAATGAACTGCAACACCAATGCTGTGGGCTTGCATCATCACTGAATAAGTGTGGATAAAGCTGAAGCTGATGAGGAATTAGAAAGCTTCTGTTTAAACAAATTATCTTGGCAACCAGTGACCCAACTATATTACAAAATACTTGATAGTCTAAATGTTTTTCTCAAGTATTTTTAAAATCAACTTAAGCTAGAAATCCACAAGAAATTACCTACTTCATTTTAGCACTTTCAAAGCAGACATCAAAAATGCTGCTGCAGAGCACTTTTTCTAGTCAATAATCAAGACAAGGTACTTACAATATTTGGGGGGCGTAGATCAACTGATCATAAAATTATAAGGTCCTAGAATTCGAGGTTTTGTTATACAATGGCACAGACAGAAAATATGTTTGCATGGCACTTTGGGGAAATGGCTGAAAAGGCAAAAACACTGCCAAATGATTCCCCTGGATGTATGAAGTATTGGGAGCAGCAGAATGGCAATCTACTCGTGGTGTACTCTAACAGTTACGGAACTCTGGCTATTCATCAGCCCAACTGTTTTGCAAAGATTCAATTTCTTATCTTATGTTAGCCAAAGCAATTCTTCAATGCAAAGTTAACACATATCCTGTGTTTCATGATTGTAATACACAAATTCTCATTTTATTCTCTGTTCCAGATCTAAACTATACATAGGCTTCCTAAACAGTTAATCTAGCTTCTAAACTAGAAATTTACTGAATTTTCAAGACTTAATTCTTTTTAGAGTCCCATTGCTGGGATGATCCTGTCCACGTAATAATTAATAATAAGTACTAAAATAAACCTCAGGAGGCTGTCAAATTAAAAGATTACATTTAGTTTACTGACAGTGTCCCTGACTAACACTCATAGTGAAGACAGGTAAATTCCTGTAAAAGCACCTTCCTTTTACTATAAGATTATCTATAAAATGACATAGATTTTTGACAAATGATTTTTGGCCTCTAGTTAACTTGCTTCTGTGTCTCTGTGTGTGCATGGATGTATGTACATGTCTGTTGAGACAGAGATTACAGATTATAGAACTTCCTTTTTATGTAGACTTGTAAAAACTCTCTTAGTCCAAACTAGAAAGAGAGAAAGTGACACTGAAAATATCTCTTCTATCTTTCTTTCATTGGCCAAAGTCCCAATTTTAGAACCAAATTTTATTTTCTTTACAGTGCTACAAAACATTAATTCTTTGAGCTGTAGCATACTATGCATACTTGAATGTTTTACCATATTCTTTTTTTTAAAAAACCAATGGCAAGCCAAATATTCTGGCATATGTCTATATTCTTAGCAATAGGGAGGCTGAGAAGGATATGGAATTCTAGGTCAGTCTTCGGTAAAGTGGGATCCTGTCCCCTACTCCCTAGAAAAAAACATTAAAGCAATGGCAGGCCAGGAATGTTAAATCGCACTTGTAGTCCTCAGCAACCTGGGAGCCTAGTAGGTAGAAATCTGAACATTTACTGTTCAAGATTAGCCTTGGGGAAAAAAGGGGTATGGTGGTGCATGTATGTTATTTCAGCAGTGATTGGAGATATAAACAGGATTACAGTCCAGATCAGCTAAGACAAAACCACAAGACCCTATCTCAAAATTAACCAAAGCATTTAGACACCAGAGATTCCTGCCCAAATATTAACTACTCAGATGCTAAGATCCATAGAATCATGGTTCAAAGCCAGCCCTTGCATAAAAGTCCATGAGACTTTATCTTCTAAATAAATAGCAAAGAAAATCAGGGATGGAGGTGGGGTTCAAGTGGTAGAACACCAGCTGAGCAACAAAGAAGCTAAGCAAACTCAAAGCCCTGAGTTTAAGACCTAGGACCACTAATAAACAGCCAAAGTAAAAAGGGCTGAGAGCATAGCTCAAGCGAAACAGAGCTTGCTGTGAAAGTATGAGGTCCTGAGTTCAAACCAGAGGAAAAAGAACAAAAGGGAGGGAGGAAGGGAGGAAGGGAAGGAGGGAGGGAGGGACGGAGACAGGTAGGGAGGGAGGGGAAGGGAAAAAAACGGAGAAGAGGAGGAAAAAAGAAAGAAAAATCATCATAAATCATCAAAATAAGAAAAAGAAAATCATTCTTATTATAAGGACATTGTGTATTAGTACAGATATAAAAGGATCTCCATACAGTATGAATAACCATCTGAAATGGCTGGGACCAGATTTTTTGGAGGGGCTAAGGTAGTGGAATACTTACAGAAGTATGATATATCTTAGGAATGGGATCTAAGTCTCAACATGAAATTTACTTAGATTTCCAATATACCTTATATACTTAGTCTGAAGGTAAGTTTATGCAAATTTTTTTGGGGGGAGTCCAGTTGTGGGGCCTGAACTCTAGGCCTGGGCACTGTCCTTCAGCTCTTCAACTCAAGGCTAGCGCTCTTACCACTTGAGCCACAGCGCCACCTCCGGCTTTTTTTTCTGCTTATGTGGCGCTGAGGAATCGAACCCAGGGCCTCATGCATACAAGGCAAGTGCTCTACCACTGAGCTACCTTCCCAGCCCAAGTTTTTAAGATGATCTTGTTCATGAAACTTTTACATACAGAGTTTTCTACTTATAATAAGTATTTGCATGTAAGTGCTCAAAAAGTTCAGATTTCAGATGGTTGTTGTTGTTGTTTCTGGTTGGTTGGTTGAACTTGTTTTGTAGCCCAAGCTGGCCTGGAACTGATGTGTCAGTCTCTGAGTGCTGGGATTATAGGCCTGCACTACCATGTCTACCTTGGATTTCAGATTTTCAGAAGCTCAATCTGTACTTGGTTCTAGTGATCAAAGGTGATTATACTCTATCTGGAGCATCCCTAACATTATATTGTATAATGTCACAATATTAGGTATGGAGTCTTCAGAGAATACAATACTCAAAGAATAAAATTAGGGGCACTCTGAGACAGTCTTAGAAGAGGTTTTTTTGTTTTTCAAGTTTCAAACTCTTTTAGGCTAAGGTTTATATGACTTATATTGGTTGAAATATCAACACACTTTTTTATATCAACTGTATATATGCTAAATATACTTTTAGCCTAAGGACTTTATGATTGTTTTAGTGATTGGAATAACTCCAGAGGTGCCAGTAGCTCACGCCTCTAATCCTAGCTACTCAGGAGATTGAAATCTGAGGATCAAAGCCAGCCCAGGCAGGAAAGGCTGTGAAACTCTTATCTCCAATAAACCACCAGGAAACAGGAAGTGGTGCTGTGGCTCAAGTGGTAGTGTGCTAGTTCAAGCACCATGACCGACAGAAAGAAAGAAAGAAAGAAAGAAAGAAAGAAAGAAAGAAAGAAAGAAAGAAAGAAAGAAAGAAAGAAAGAAAGAAAGAAAGAAAGAGAAGGAAAGAAAGAAAGAAAGAAAAAGAAAGAAAGAGAAGGAAAGAAAGAAAGAAAAAGGAAGAAAGAAAGAAAGAAAAGAAAGAAAGAAGAAAGAAAGGAAGGAAGGAAGGAAGGAAAGAAAGAAAGAAAGAGAAAGAAAAACATAACTCCAAGTAAGAATATTTTTGAAGTTTCTTTGATATTAAATGTATCTCCTTTAAAATACACTAGATGAATGGGGAAAAGACCTTTTCAAATAACTTGTGTCACCATTTCCCTATACTTGGCTTACTATTGTTAACATAATCAAAGGTAGACAAAAAATATATATGCTACACACTCTCATAGATCAGTGTTTCACAAAGTAAACCAAGATAGCTGTATGAGAATCTCCTAATGTTAAGTTCTTCCCACAGGTCTCATACAAGAATTTCTAGAAGGCATCTTCTGTAGAGCTTGATTTTTAAGAAAATCCCATTTCATTTTCATCTTAAAGTTAAAATTGCATTGCTTTAAATGTCTACATT